ATTAACATTTTAATTTAGGATAAAATTCATAAATAAAATAAAATACAATTTAGGGTCAAAGTTTAATATTTAAGTTAAAATCCAATTTTAACGAAAATATAAAAAGTCGTCAATTTTAAATAAAATTTTAAACGGGTCAAAATTGAATTTTAAAGTCAAACTATTCGAAAATTAAATTTAAAATCATTTTAATATTTAAAACCAAAACCATTTTCAAAATTTCAATTTGACCACTATTTTAAAATTGCACAATGACCCCTTCAATATGTTATTGCAGGCGGAGGCCTGCAATTTCAAAAATTGCATCAGAGGCCCCCGCCTTCGCCTCCACCTCCACCTCTTCTTCCCGACTGTAGAAAACCCTAAAAAAAATTTGTTTTTTGTTTTTTGCTTTCTGCCGGTTACGGTAGGAGCTGGGTACTCAAGTGGCTCTCCACCTGCAGCAGCGCTGTGGTCACGCTGCAGCGACAGCAGCACCCACTGCATCGCGGCAGCAGCGTCGCAGCGCCACAACGCACGATGCAGTGGGTTGCATCTGTGTGCGGCAGTGATGGCTGTCGCCGTTGCTGCTGGCGGCAGCTGACGGTCAATCGACGCTGCCTTTCTGCCTTCCGATCAGATTTTTTTTTTAAACAGATTCTAAAATATGAAAAAATCATTTTTTATTAATTGCTAGAAACATGAAAAATAACAACAATCAACTTTTTGATTGTTATATAATACGAAACAATTTCCACTGTTGGGAATTTACTTAATCATGCATAGAGGAAATAAAACAATTTTCAATTCCCACCATGGTTCTGCATTGTGTTTAGGTAGAAACTGTGATAAGAATTATACATTTGATGAATTCTGCAAATTCCTTTACTGATTCTCGAACTCCAATGATCACGATCTACAATCCAAGTTGTCCAATTGTCTAGCCTCCAATGGTGATCCACACAGAGAACAAGAACGACGGCTAGGGTTTTCTTTTTTTTATGTTAGCAAGAATAATGAATTTTTTGTACAATTTTCAAACCCTAGCAACCTACTAATATAAGTCCAAGCGGGTTGGCCCATCTGTTAAACTTAACCCGGTCCAACATTTAATTAATCAAATTAATTAAATCCGGTACATGAATTAATTAATCCAATTAATTAATTCGAGAATATTATTAAGTAACCCAATTAATTAATTATCTAACACTNACCCAGTCCGATATTAAATTAATCAAATTAATTAAATCCGGTCCATGAATTAAATAATCCAATTAATTAATTCAGGCCGATTAATTAGCAACTCAATTAATTAATTGTCCAACAGTTGTCAATTAATTAATTGGTTAATTTCATTCTTCTGTTTCTCTTTTGTGTGTGACTCATTAGGTTCCTGATCACGATACTTAACGACGTGAATTATTATTTTGATCTAATCAAAATCGATAAATTAAAACACCTCTTTTAATTTATCACTAATTCATATTCGTCGTCCCAGATTGACATCTAGCAATGTATCAGGCAATACATGTGATGGAAAATGTCACGTAATGTGACAAACCAAACATGTCTGTTTACCATGAAATTATAATTATTTCGTCAATATGATCCAATCAATTATGAGATATGAATATGTGTCAATCTCAATTATCGATCACATCTTTTATCCAAATGTTAAGTCAATGTAAGTTGAAAACTCCTTTTCGACTTATGAATTCACCTTAGCCAAGGATTTTATTATCAACTTAACTGGATAAAATGTAGATCATAATCTCTTACTATCTAAGAGTGATGAATCCTCTATTGATCATTCACAACCTTCATATGATTCTTGACAAACCCGAACGATACTGTATTAGCGACCATTGGCAGATCAACATCCAACACCATCAAAGTATAACTGTCCTCATATAAGGTACTATGATGACCTCAAGTCAAAGGATCAATTCCACTACCGAACGTTAGAGATTAACGACTAACACTCAAATAATTATCCATGTGGAATCTCCCAGGGAGTCTCTAATGTTTTGTTCTATAACAAAACATCAACGTGTTCATTCAAGTGTCACCATACTTTAGCTTGTGAGATCAGTTACTTACTTCACAAGTAAGAATGCTACATGTGATGGTCTACCCGTAATAACGATATCCGTATCTCGTTATTACTTCGATCACGGACGATTTAAGATTCATTCATATGTAATTTATATCTCACAATCACAACTCCTTGTGATTAACAAATCACCAAGACTTGAATATACTGATTCTATTATTTAATTTATTAGAATATTAATTCAATTAAGTAATAGATATTGACATACATATGTATCGATTATATATATATTCAAAGTG